GTGACATAGTAGTGTCATTCCATGAAAAGCGGCGTTTGGTTCCCAAGTAAAAGAATGCGTGTGCCCTAAACGAGAAAACAATGGGCGGAACTAAATAAAATGGAATAATCAAAAAAGGATCTTAGGTTATGAAGCCTGTATATCACAGACAAGACTTAAACCTTCTCTTTTTATATACTCAATGTGTGTCGTTTTGACCCGTATTGCACATCGTACAGTATAGCTTCAATATTTTTCCAAAAAGTTTATGCCACCTATAACAAAAGTTGTAAAATTATCTTTAACATGTGTTTATATATGTTACTTTCAGCGTTTTATCTTTTATCATGTGCGACCATTTCATTTGTCATATTTTCTCGGCAGGCAATTTCATAATTTACAACTAATGGAATAAGAAGCTTATTATTGTTCTTGTTATTGGATCGAAGTCGTTTGTGTTAGTGTCCTGTAAAATGTCCAATTTCTTTATGGAGAAACGTAATGTTTTGTAATTATTTTTTCAAAGGAATTGTAAACATCTAGTAACCGTGGTTGGAACTCCAATATGTCGATGATGTAGTATTTTATTCTCATTTGAGCATTTTTGTTGTACATTCGTTTTAGCTGTTTACTAGGTACAATGTACTTAATTGGTGAAGTAGGTATCAGATATACAATGTTTATATTGTCTCACGTTTTGGTGTTATTCCCCCATATTATGTCTTTACTCCTTGTTGTTTCACGTTTTTTGTGTAATTCCACAATATTGTCTCACGTGTTGGTGTTTTATCCCCCTTATAATATCTCGTATTGGTGTTATTACTCCTTATTGACTCACGTTTTGATGTTATTACTCCTTATTGACTCACGTTTTTGGTGTTATTCCCCTTATTGTGTCACATGTTGGTGTTATTACTCCTTATTGACTCACGTTTTGGTGTTATTCCACCTTATTGTGTCACATGTTGGTGTTATTACTCCTTATTGACTCACCTTTTGGTGTTATTCCCCCTTATTGTGTCACATGTTTGTGTTATTACTCCTTTTATTGTGTCACCTGTTGGTGTTATTACTCCTTATTGTCTCACGTATAGGTGTTATTCCCCCTTATTGTGTCACATGTTGGTGCACTTTCCCATTTTTGTGTAACGTGTTAATGTTATTCTCCCTTATTGTGTCACGTGGATGTTACCCCCCCCCTTATTGTTTCACGTGTATTTGTTTTTACTCCTTATTATCTCACGTATTGGTGTTATTCGCCCTTAAATTTACAAAATTACTAGAAAAATGCTGTAGTTTTGTGTTTCATGAGCATTTTACTCATTTTATTTTACTTAATATCATTAATTACAAAAGCGCTTTCTGAAAAAAAAAACATTATTATAAAATATGTTGATCGCGTAAAATCATTTAATTCAATAGAGATAAAGACCTAAACATGCTCAATCGTATCGAGTCGCAATATTTTCAATTTTGTCGTTTTGGATCTTCTAGGGTTTCCGTCTATCTTTTTTATTGTTTTTATGTATTTTTCCCCATTTATTGTAATATAATTAAAAAAACAGTGATGAAAACGTGTACATTCTACAAGAGTATCAAATACCTCTAAAGTAAGTTGTTGCAAACAATATTCTGTTGTGGTCTGAAATTTCAACGATAAGATGATAAAGGTTATTAGCTAGAAAGGAAATGTTAACCAATATTTAAAATATCTCTGGTATTTAGGGACTTGTAAAAATCTTGACGCACTCCTACACAAATATTACTACATGACAGATTCCAATTTCTTCAAAATTGCTTTACTGCGAGCTATCAATAACATTTTGCCACAAAATAAATTTGAAAACTTAATCATAAATATTGGTTAACTTGTTACAAAAAATTGTGCGCAATGTTTAAATTTCCATTTCTATTTTTGAGTATGCGTCATAAAAGCTGCATTTAAAGGACTCTTTTTTGACGTGACTGGACTGGAAATAGTTTTTTTTTCTCAACAGTTAAACTCACATCGGGCTAAGAGTCACACACAAATAAATTTCATTTTAATTAAGAGTTATTTATTTATTGTATTTTAATACATTTTCGTGAAAAGTTGCCCTGTTGATTTATTAAAGAATTTCAAATTTTAAAAATTTTAGCTTTTGGACTCCAGTTAGGTTTCTTAAATCTAAAAAGTGTTGTTCCTAGCCATAAATAAAACAAAAAATAAAAGACAAAAGTTTTATCATGCCGATATTAGATTTATTGATTGAACCATGTTAAATGCTGAAATATATTTTTTTTCCGTAATAATTGTGCGTGATGGCTGATAGGATATCATAGCTGGAAAATAATGCGAGATTATATTGGATGTTACAATACTTTCTTTTTTCCATGACAATTCTGAATGTGAAAATTAGACCGTAGACACAGCAAAAACATGTAACTACACATATTTATATAGTATATTAGATATATTCAGAGCTTTGAGCAAATAGTCTGAAAAAAAATATTAATATGCATTTTTACAAAGTTTCTATTTAGAAGTGAGCCCATTTATTGACATATTATGAATCAATCAAGATTGATGCGAAAACAAGTTACTAAGTTATATCTCTTTTACAATATAACGTCCCAGTTTTAAAAATCGTGAAAGAAAATTGATCGCAAAGCATTAATTTTGACAATTTTCTGTCGTGTACGATATAGCATGAAAAAGAATTTCTACATTAAGCATACATTCAATAGCGTCAATCAATTAATTTACCATTTGCTGCTGATAAAGGGAAATTACTCTGACATTATTACAAATTGGAGATACACTCGTACAGGCTCTTTAAGTCTTCCTTCACATGAATGTACAATTGATGTGGTTTCCTTTTGGTTCGCATTCATTTGAGCCGCGTCACGACAAAACCAACATAGTGCGTTTGCGACCAGCATGGATCCAGACCAGCCTGCGCATCCGCGCAGTCTGATCAGGATCTATGCTGTTCGCTATCAGAATAGGGTTGGTAAGCGAACAGCATGGATCCTGATCAGACGGTGCGCAGGCTGATCTGGATCCATGCTGGTCGCAAACGCACTATGTTGGTTTTGTCCTGACGCGGCTCATTTGTATTTAGCAAGTAAATGAATGAAGACAAAGAGACACATAATGTTAATATAAGTCATTTAATTACTTAAATGACCTTACAACAATGCAAATGGAAAATCTATAAATGATTAAATGTCATTTTTGTTGAAATACAAAATTCTTAAACAGTTGATAACACATTGATTGCGCTATATAAACGACCACCCTAATATAATATAAGACTGAAACGTTGGTTATTGTCGACGCGCCCAAGAAAACCAGTCCATTTAATCTCATATCTAGTACCACAGAAAGCTGGGCCTCATTCATAAAATAAAAACATTTTTTGTAGCGTATACATAAAATGTGCTACAATATATTGATTTAAATCAATGCAAACATTATGACTAAAGAATGAAAACAATCATTACAAAATATCACATCATTTAATCATGAAAAAGTTATATTTTGTCATCAAGCTTAATAGAGTAAAAAAAAGAATACATGTGTAATAAAATCTATCAAAAATAATATTTATTTTGAAAGAGATTGTGTAGTATCATAAGGCTCTAGATAAAGCTTGACGGAATTTACACTTTCTCTATAAATATACACGTGTATTGTATAAGAGGTTCATATAGAGAATATGTATAATCCGTATTTGAGATTATTTGATATCATGTAATGCCCATTATGTTTATGGATATAATTCACCCCAGACAAAATGCCTTTTATATGTAAATTTGACCCTGGCCAGTTCAACACAAAATGTAAAACTTATTAAAACCTGTTTCAAAACAAGTGTAGTTGTTTCCTTCATACAATTGTATTATATTTCACATGAAAACATATGATCATAAGTTTTATCACTTCTTTCTGAATTGATAACACCAATTTCATTTTCTAGTTAAATCTATTTCAATAAACAATTTTAATTTTATATAATTGTATAAATGCAATTGATTACAACAAGTGATATTGGTATACAACAAAAACAGCAATATAAAATATTTTAGTTCACTTACATACATACACATTATTGTGTGAAAGAATAATATCTAACCAAATGAAATGAAACACTCAAGTACGACTGTATTACATGTAAATAAAATAAGAATACCTGTAAACATTGATTTCTATAATTGCATGTTTATCAAATTGCACTTTTTTATTATATAAAATCATTAAGTTTCAAACTTTGATTGTGATGCATTCAAAATCATTAAAATAAAATAATGGTTGGTAGCTAAATATTTGTGAAATGTATTTGAAATGTGATCTCGTCCAAATTAAAAGTTTTGCAAATCTATCTTTTTTCCTTAGTATTCGTACTGCCATAGAAAGGCGACATAGCCATAGAAAGGTAGGCACTCCATAAACGGTAAAAACAATGACATAAATCTTTCTCGACTTAGATCTATTTTGATCTATTTATGTACAGTTTAAGAGGAAATAGTTCGTTTATATTATTCCTGATAAACACAATACTTTTTTAAAGACATAATAGTTCACATACAATCGTTGTTATTTATAAATACAGATGTAGTTATGGTCGACACTTTTAATATGTTAAATCCCCTTACATATACAATTAACTTTTTCAAAATCAAAAGCAGAACAAATTCACTATGGGTAAAGATAAACAAAACTGTTGTCTAAAACTAAAGAAACTTTATGTGTTAAAATAGCAGAAACATTTCATATGAATCCAATGTAAGCTGCCAGCGATGTACAGTTTTATTTATGTGTCCGACCCTTTGTAAGTTAATACACTCTTTATTTTTGTACATACAAATGTAATATCAAATTGCATGTATCAAATATCTTCAATATGAAAAGGAAAGTAACTGTGTATTATTTTGTTAATTTTTTCTATATGATTGTCTGTTCATGCTTAACATATCAATCAATTTGTAGTACATATCGATTTTACTACTGTTTAAAAACCACTCAGTGGTTATTATACATTGTATTGTAAACTTGCTGTTAATATAAAGTGTACTTAAACTAGATCAAATATTTTATCAACTGTTAAAAGTTGTGAAATGGATTACTTAACCGTTTTAAACATGATTCATTGCCGTATGACATAAAGAACGCTCTCGTGGTTTGTTGCGCGTGTAATTCTTTTGCTGTCAAATGTTGAATTGTATATTTATAAATAAATCATATAAAACTAGCACACGCTTAAACTAGTGTATACTCGCGATAACATACGTTCAAGTTGAGCATATAACAGAAATGTAATTTCGCTAGTAAAATGGTTGTTATACACAAAGATGTTTTCTTTGCTAATATCCCGGGAGTAGAGCATGGAGACTGTCACTTAGATCTGTATCTCCCGGACGATGTAAGGACCTATGAACGAAATAACGAAATTCACAAAAAGGATACAAACGCTGTTAATAATATTCGAAATAAGGGTGATAAGGATGGTACTTATAATATCGTAAATGATATTAGGGAGACAAATGAAAATCAGGAGCATATTAACAACAGATATTCAAGGGATAAGTTCAATGATGATTCGGGAAGCTCTGAAAGTAAAAGTGTACCATTTGTTTTATTTATTCATGGAGGAGGCTGGCGGAGGGGTGGCAGGTCGGCTTGGAAACATTACTTGTTCTTTGATGTGAATTTTCTTGTGGCATTTCTTCAATATTTTATTGGTAGTTATGGTAACATTGGAGAGGTTCTTGCACAGAACAATATCGCATGTGCTATTGTGTCCTATCCGCTGACCGAGGCTGGACCAGTTGTGTTGATAGTGGAGATGTTACTGTCTTATATCCAGTCCGTATTTGTTATATTCGTCCTATGTTTGCCTATACATGGCTTATTATTACTCTTCTTATATGGAATTGTCGACAACAGTCGCTTTTATGTAACGAGAGAGCTTATTTACTTGGAAAACGGCGTTATCACCAATTTAAATACACTGTTCTTAATAACTTTGACTTTTACAAATTCTGTAATTGCTACGTTATTTTTCTTTAAAAGAAAAGAATTCAATATTTCAATTATGCATATAAGATTATTTGGATTATCTTTATTCGCTGTGCTAGTGTTATCTTTTTATTCAAATTCATTGTTACACTATCTGGCGATTTCAACGTTAATTCTGACACAAACTATGATATTCTATCAAAGAATTAGAAGGTATGGGTCAACATATGATGGGCAGGTGAAAGCAGTTGCTCAGGCCGTCAGATGGGCTAAATGTTTCTGTGAAGAGACTGGGCACATAGATATTAACCGATTGTATTTGATGGGACATTCTGCTGGTGGGCATTTGGCCACCCTATCTGCCCTTGATGAATCAATTCTTGCAGAGGTGGCATGTTCTACAGAGGATGTAAAGGTGAAACAAAAGTAGTTGTTAACACTAATCTTTATTTCAAATAAAATTTAAGGGAGCGAAAAATAGTTGTTCATTACACATGCAATTCGTTTACCAAAAATCTGTACTATCACAGAGTTATATACATGTATATGTGTCTGGTACCATTAACTATGATGAATGACATAAAACAATGATTTTATAGTGTAAGATTTAAATTTGGTTTTAAAAATATCTAATCATCATTCACACGATATACATTTACCAGTAGTTACATCACTTAAAACTATAATGGATTTTTTATGAATAGTAGCATAACTTAAATACATTGTAATTATATTTGTACATTTTAAATGCAATGCTATCTCAGTAATATATTTGAAAATTCAAAAATGTCATCTTGAAAGTTTATAATTTAGGACAATAACCCAATAAAATAAACTTAAAATTATGTCAAATGTTACACATTCGTTATCATTTTATACATTTAGGTCATATGAAAACAAAATTACATTTGAAATTTATCAGTTTATGGTGATAATGGAATGTTGAAAATGACCTTAAAGGGTCATAAATGAACTGATATTCCTCATGAATTGATTACTGTGTGGCTTACACACATTGATATCTAATAAAAGTAGGTGAAAAATTCAAATTCAAAATGGAGCGAACATGTTGTTTTAAGTCTGTTTTTCTTATATGATTTCGATATTTCTATTGTGATATATCTCATTCCGAGTCATGCAAGATTATCTCTTGAAATACGCACAACATGGATAAAAGATTCACAATTGATATCGTGACTTTCAGATTTGATAACTCACTCTTCATTCCAAGTGTTCAAAGAATTCGCCTTTGAAAAACAATTAATTCATTGTATCTTTTCTTTCTTTATTTTCCAGGGTGTTATTTCAATATCCGGCGTATATGACCTCCTCTGTTTGAACAAACATTGGCTCCGCCATGTGTACCTTGAACCAACATTCGGCACGAGTTCCAAACAGTGGCTTCAGGCATCCCCGGAACATTTGGCCCAGAGATCAAAAAGTGCGAACACCATGCCCAAGTTTCTTTTAATATTAGCAGAATATGATATATTTTTGAAATCACAATCATACAAATTTGCTCAGACATTAGGCAAACTAAATTTGGAATGTAAGCATGTTGAAATCAGTAAATCAAACCATTTTAATGTAGTTACAAATACAAGTACTGGCAAAGGGACGACTCTGTCTTATGTGATTGAATTTATAAAGTAGATGCTTCATTTTATCTTCAGTTTATCTTATGGCAATAAGTATTGTACTATGATATTATGCTTTGCATTAACATGCAATATGTAAAAAAAAAAGAAATATGGCTCTATTTCATTATATTGAAAAAAGAAAGTCATCAACTTTAAAATGCTTGTTTAAATAAAGAAGTACTATGTTGAATTTATATTTATTTAACTGTTTTATGCCTTTTTTCGTTTTGAATGTAGGAATATGTTTTTGATATTTTTATGAAATTATAGTTCCAGGGTAAGTTTTAGTTTTTTATCGCAATTTATGTATAGAAAATATTTTTAAACGGAAATAATAACTTTAAATATTTGATTTGTTAAAATGTGTTTCATCATGCTTTTTAGTTGTCCTTTATGTAAAAAACCTTTAAACTATCAAGCATTTCAGGATGGAGAAGGAAATTCTTTTTATTATTATTTTGTTTTACTCAGGTGCCCGTTCGTGCCAACCCAACAAATTGTTTTTATTTCATTCATTAATTTTGTTGTTACTATTGATTGTTGGAAATAAAGATTGTTACTGTTGAAGTCTTTGTTCTTTTTCGTTAAAAAAATAAATATATGACAATTTAAATGATATTTAATGTAGTTCATTTATTGTAGTGTTAAGTTTGTTTTCTTCTTTGCCCTATCATTTGTTCAAACCAAGTCTACAAAACTGCCTTATCAATTATACTTCAACTGGGCTCTTTGGGCCTCCAATTTTCATAATTTACAGCGATAAAGCTGCCAGCTTTATTAAAATCGAGCAATATCTAACCTTAAATAAATTTACAATATGATGTACATGTAATATGAACTTAAAATGGATAACAGCGGGTTTTGTTGATTTGTATTAGACCTTGATGATATCACCTACAATACACTTATTGATTTGAAAGAGTCTGTCCTTGTGGTAGCAGATTGTCGCGTTAAATGGTAAACGGCCAAGGCATATAAAGATCTCTGTAATCGGTGTGTATCTTCAAAGGAATCATAACAATGTATTTTAATCAAAAGAACAATGCTTTTAAGATTTCCGATAAAGAAGATGGAATATGCACAAAATCATCGTTGCAGCTACTGTACATAGTCAGGATTTCCTCTCTTCCCTTCATTTCCATGGCTATATCATTTATAAAAATAGATTCAAAACTTTTACCAAAACATTATTAAAGAGTATCAATACACAACTAAAGATTGGGTAGGAATTAATTTTGCTTTACTTCTTTGCACTTGGAATCCTGCACTGCCCCCAATACTACAATTTCAGAATGCATTTATGCATAACATTTACGATATGTTAGTATCCCCTTTCAAAATTCCATTTTAATTAGTACCTTCCATCGTTTTCTATTCATTGGCACACGCATTCTTTTACTTAGGGACAATATGCTGCTTTTCATGGAATGATACTAACGAGACACATTGAAAGTTCATGTGGATGTTTCAAAATTAAAAATTCTACCATTTTCATGTGAAATGTTGAATACTGCTTAAGTCGGTGCTAGGGGCGTGGATGTTAACTTTCACTTTCCAGTACTGCCCATGAACAGGCTCAATCAAACCGAGCCTACAACATTTTCAATTTTGACGATTTGTGCTTTCTTTAGGGGTTCTATGTCACTCTGTTCTATGTAAGAAAAAATAAATGCGTTTAAATGTCTCCCCCACCTTATATGACACATGTCGCTTATGTTTTGAAAGCAATAACATGATGTCTTGTAACATCTGGACAATTCACTCCTTATTGATCTTACATTACAATATCTTACACAGAAATACTGTCAGTTTATTTCTTAGTCATACGAACGGATTTATTATTCTATAACAATTTTCTCGGATGATATAATATGATTAAAACATTGTTTTGGAGTTTAGTGCTCTTTTGGCTCATAAGACCGGTGCTGACACTAATTGTATGAATCTTTTATAACTTCTTTATACAGCTGTACTTATTCTTGTCGATCTTGCGAAATATGTCACTTTTTTCTGTTTTCTGTCCTTTGTTTAAACTAAAAGAATTGATTGTTTTATGTTGTTGTTGTTGTTTCATGTTGTTAGTTTCATAAATTTGAATTATAGAGGGTTAACACGTTAAATTGAGCTAATGTTTACCTTTCATTTTGCAATGAATTTTCAATCATTTTAAGTTATTTTATTGACATTTAACATATATTATTAACGGAGAACATGTTTCTTTTACTTCTTCGTAACTATTAAAACAAAAACAAAACAAAACCGTAGCTATACTTTTAAGACTGACTAAAAATCAAGACTGCATTGATCAATACCAAGCACAAATGATTAACTTGTATGTTTACTGGTAACAATATAATTCTTACTAAATCTATGTACCGTTAACATGAATCAATTGCGCAAATGCTCAGTTAGTTATTCGGCGACCGTGCTATCAAACAATATTGTACAAGTATTGTGTCTTTGTCGCAACATAGATATAGAAGATGAATACTATGTCTTCGAATCGTAATTGTGAAATAACTAATAATATAAGTATAATTGATATAGTTGAATATTTGAAGTGTTGCTTAATCTTAATATGGCATATGACAAAAAATATAGAATCATCTATGTACATATTTCGATCGAAGAAACTGACAAAAAATGGACTGCCCACTATTTCAATAAACTGAACGTTACAGGAAAATTCTGATGGGTATTTACAAATATTTCCTTGGGCCCTCTGAGTCAAACAACTGTCATGCCAAATGAATTATAAAATTTAAAGGAATGACGGCAAAATTTTAGCTTTTTTTTTTACTTTTACTTTCACTCACTATATTTCCTTGGATGGACATAACGTCACTTTAAAAATATTATTTTATGTTAAAAAGAAAATAAGTTGCTATGTCTTTTTTGGTTTCAGACACTTGACGAGTCATGCGGGGTATCTAGAGGATGTTACCATGACTGTACGTCCACCGGATGTAGTTTTCTAATCACGTGGTTTTATAGACCGGAAGTAGACGCCATTGCGTTCACTATGAAGAAAAAGTTTGATGATATTTATCATCAACAATGGTTTGCAATGGGATTTTCAAATGATGAACTTATGGTATGATATGATAACTATTCATTCTAGCTTTTTTTTATCCCAAAGCGTGTAAACTTGAAATATTACTTCCAAATTACATGTTGGGACCCCCTTGGTGTGTATTAATTCAAATGATTATATTAAAAATTGCAGTTTAATAATTAAACAAAATACATAGATAATATCAATAACTAGTAATACTTTTTCAATATTCCTACGTTTTCCTGAAATTTATCATAGATCAGAAGTGAAGAACCGTTACATCGCAATATGTCTTGGCCTCATAGTATGCATCGGTAAGATTTTGCTAATAAAAATACATCACAATTCAAAACATATTACACATTGCAATGCATTGGTACAGCTAACTAATATCACAATAACAAAACAAGTTCTTACAGAAATTAAAAGAAAAAAGCCAGAAATTAAAAGAAAAAGGCCAGGATAACTTTTTGGTTAGAAATATGTGACGATTCAATCATTGTTTTAATTTGGAAAAATAAACGATTGAATACTTAACATGTTCCTTTTAATTCAGTGTGTTCACAATTAGTTTACTACAGTTTATTTGATTACGATAATTTTGATTTTTTCAAATATGTTTTTTTTTTAATTGAAGAGGTTTTGACCGTTAACACCTATAGCTTTAAGTTTGACTATCGTAATCGATCGTAGAAAATCATTTGCTTATGCAATACGTATCGAGAATTGGATTGTTTGCAAAATAAAAAATTGTGACAGCAATGCACAGCTATATTATATATAATAACCAGTTTTGACTGAAGTACTGTGCAATTGACAAAAGTTTAGCCCTCTCCACGAATTATTTTGTCAACTCTTTCCTACGAAGTGGTCAACTGAGTATCACTCCTTTGTGTTGACCGTGTGTCTGTATATGGAGACGGATACATTCTTTGAACGTTGCTATCAACTGTTGTTCTTTGTACAATTGTATTTAGGGAGAAGACAGTGTTATAGAATGCACAACTGACCCGGATATACGTATATGGGCATTTGTCAAACATTCATATAACGACAACCATTACAATGTAGAGATAAGTCACGTGGGTATTTAAAATATAAATATTTCTATATTATTCATTTGTTTTAAAAAAAATTAGTAAGTTAATGGTAGCACAAACTGTTAGTAAAAAAAAAAAGTATTTCATAAAATAATTAATCAAAAATAAGAAAAAACATGGTTTTTGGCGCGTTTCCAGGACCGTATATTAAATCAAACGGGTACATTATATATGCTGTAAATTATTTAAGTATGGAATATGTGTATTACAAAAGCATCAAGCTTATGGACGATATAAACATGTTTTTGATTCGATTCGCCGCTCATTTTTTCATGCTTTTTTCTGCACTGCTTAAGGTTTTAGTTTCATAACTCAAATGTTTTTATCGAATTCGAAATCTTGATACCGCATTGTAGATGAATTAATACTCTGAAGAAAATAAAACTATCATTTTAATTATTTTAAGATATAAATAAAGCAGTCTGTTAAAAACAATTGCACATTCGATATCATTGAACCTGATTATGGACGTCAGAGGTAAATGTGAGATACCGTTTAAGCCCCCTGGCACCGTCTCCCACAGATTTCAACATTTAACATAAAAATGGTGCACAATTTAAAATTTAGAAACATGTGCATATTTATAAATACGGCGGTAATCATGAAAGTGTATTATTTTTTCTAGCCGAAGTTAGGTTTGCGAGAAATGGCAGGATCTACAATTGACGGCATACAGACGTGTAACTTCACCAGACTGATGCATGTAGAAGGTTTTGATAGAATATTTAACCTTGATCAACCTTGGTATCTGTTAGTAACCAGTGGATTCGTAGATCATGGTAGTATAATCATATCACTTTGGTATAAACTCATCCCTGAATTTGGACCATTTATATAAATATTGTAACTAAAGGTCACATATTTTGGTTTACTTCTTAGTAAATTCACGTGCCTTAAAATAAAAAAAAACTATGAAATTCCTAAAAAGCACCAAAACGGTAAAATTGTACATGTACAAGTGGTATGTTCATGGTACCAACTAAGTTTATCTGCCATAAAAGCTTTTAAGTCTCTCGTTTCTCGTCCAAAAAAAGGTTTGACTGCATGCAAATTGTTTCTCTTAATACGCAGCTTTGTGTGGGAGTTCAAATTGTAATTGATTCTCATCTACATGTGTGTTAAATAATGACTATTTACATCGACTCTTCTTTTTGCAGGTTCGAAGCTTAAACACAAATTATATCCGAATGGACCATTTATATCACCCTACAAGATAGACTTTCAGCAGGTTGATAATGTGACAGGAACGAAAGTAAACCATTTGGTTAAAATACATGGTATTTATCAAAATAGTTCTATTATAATTTAAATTAAAATCGGTTGTCAGGTAATTCTAAAAATTAAACAAACAAAAACATACAAAAAAACTGCAAAATAAAGTTGAAAGTTCCCAAACCCACATGGATGCAAACTGTTTTGCGAATACATGCCCACCGGTACAAAAACAGACCCCATATTATAACAAACTGTGACAGTGTAATGCATTTATTTCTTAAGAAGACATACTGCCATTGAAAGGTATATATGAAGGTTTTAAACAATGGTTTATCATTGCAGGATGCTTGATGGTATTTGCCTGGATGATTTTGGCAAGTGGGTCCATTATTCTGGCACGTTATTACAAACACCAATGGCCCGAGGGTCGGGCATGTGGCCGTAGGATATGGTACCAGGTATGAACATAACGTTTTATGAAATTTAGCAACATTTTCAAATGCAAGTGATCATAATTATGGCGATGATCGTTTTATATTTTTGAATATATCATTTATAAAAGTAAATTTGGGATATACGTACATATTGAGTCCTCAGATCACCATGCATATTTATACATGTATTATCTGAATACTTGATTCATTCTGTGTACGTACATATGTTTTGCCAATGAATCCGAATCATAACCTTATGAATGTTTTTTGTTTGTGTTTTTTTCAGGTTCATAAAATCGTTATGCTGCTTGTTGTGGTATGTGTAGTGGCATCATTCATAGTCATCTGGGTCCATACAAAGGGCTATGCAAAGGTAATTAATATCAGTTAATATCATGTCTTATAACCATCTCGTATTATTACTTTGCACCAGTTAAAATATTGATAAAAACGACAGGACAATTTTTTGTACAGAACATGAAAATATCTCAAAACCTAAATTTAGAAAAGGCCTTCCAATCCGCATTTACACGAATATAAATAAATATTATGCTATGTTAAGTATTGTTTTTCTTACATGCAAAATTAAAATAATAATACTTTTATGATTCAAAACAAAAACATTTATAATTCAAAATAATAATAAAATGTCATTACATTAAGTTTAAAATTAAACTTTAAATTGTATTGATATAGTCATTACGTTATTCGTTTATAAGTTGCATTAAGCTTTATAATATTGTAAAAATGTATCTCCTGTACATATACATGAGAAAGATTTTGTGGTATAATATTCATTTCAAATTAGTTTTCATTTAAACGTTGTTCTTTTGTCAATTATATTTCAGTTAAAGGGAGCCAACGCTATCCAGAAAGCTCATCCTACACTTGGTATAATAGTAATGGGACTCACGATTATAAATGTAATGTATAATAATAGTAATTGGACATAAAATATAACACTTCTTTTCTAACAGAAAACAATAATAACACGATAATAACTTTTGTGTCATACATTTTTGCTATTTTGGCTCGTACCTGTGCGGTGCCGCCCGTGTGTCTTTGAAGCTAGATGTTGGCGTTATCTAAGCTGATCTCCCCTGTTGATGTTCACTCCCAATACGACACACAATTTCTTGTTTTAATAGTATTAAACTATATGTAAATAAACAATAGTAAATCTGACGAGTAATTGCATTGACCCTCGTTGTGATAAAAGCAATGTGCAATAGAAATTTTAATCACATTCATACATTCATTGTAAAAATAATAATGCTAATCATGTTGATATATGCCATGTTAAAATTTTAATACAAACTTAATTATGTCTTCAAACATGTGATTATTGTTCTTCTTCTTCTTCGTCTACTTCTTCTTCTTCTTATTATTATTATTATTTGTTGTTGTTGTTGTTGTTGTTGTTGTTGTTGTTGTAATTTATATTCTTCCTTGTACTGTAAGATTCTTTGATGAAAAATTATCTTTTTTATAAAAATAAATATTATCAATATGTTAACAATTTTACAGCCAATCATGGCGTTCATACGTCCGAGGTCTGATACAGCTACAAGACCAATGTTTAAATATGTGCATGGTTTTGTCGGTACCACAGTGTACGTTATTGCTAGTAAGTTAAATAAAATGATATATTTTTGTATGTCTTATTTATGACATTTTATAAAACCTGCGTGAATTGAATTTCAAGTAATAAAATAAAATGACACAAAAGTGTTGAAGTTTAAGACTGCAGATTATTCTATATGAAATGTAATCAAAATACCAATGTAATAATGACGAATAAACGTGTGCTTGTAACTTAAAAACATATGTTGTCTTTAAGAATACATTGTATATCAATGACTTTTTACAAAGGTATATAGCTTAATAAATAACAGTCATGTATTAAAGATTTATAGATTTGTTAAATAATTGCTTGACTAATGTTTAATGTGTATTACACCCAATCCAGATACCAATAGTACGAGCACTAATAGGGCCATGACCATGTTTCCTCATAATACACTATGTACTGCTTAATTGCCGGAAGTGGTAAAAATAAACTTAAAGCTTGATTCAATCACAGACGATCTCAAATAAACCATATCATTGATTTTTTTCAGTTCTGAATTGCATACTTGGAACTACTTTGCCCAAGGTCCACGTCCCTTCTTATACAATGTGGATCATGGTAGGGTTTGCCATATACCAACTAGTGTTTGAACTCCTGATGGAGACATACGAGTGTTTTCTCATTAAAACAGGTAGGCCAACTTTTCTTCTTTTATTTTTATTTGGTTGGATTTTACGTCGCACCAACACAGTATTGGTCATGCGCGACTGTACAGCTTTACTGGTGGGGAAAGACCTCAGGCACCGTGTTCACATAGATTTAAGGATCAGGATCAGGATCAAGATCAGGATCAAATTTTAAAATTCTAAAATATTCTCAGTTATTTATCCTCATAGATTAAATATTCAATATTAACTTGATAAAATTGGACTTGAAATAGCATGTTTATGAAATTTTAGAATAAATTTATTTTTATTTTTACAAGATATGTGCATTTTACAGTTGATCCAAATTTTGATCTTGATCCTAAAATTGATCCTCATTTTGATCGGATTATTTTTGTATTTGTTTTGTTATTTGTTGATTTTATCCCAAAATAGGTTGGTTTCTTTGCAAATAAGCAATGTATTTACGTGTGTACAATCTAATTCTAGCATAATACGTTATAAAGCAATGAAAATAAAATCAGGATCATTTGAGCCTGATCCTGATCTTTTCTTTGTGAAAACGGGGCCAGGTATCCGTCCGTGCATAATTTGCATTATTTCAGGCACAAACAGGCACTAGAGTAGAACCACCGACGTTCCGTAAGCTCGCTAGATAGCCAACTTTCTGCAATTTAGTGTATATTCAGTAAAGTAATCTGACTTGATTCCAAATAGAATATTATTGATTCTGTTATAGTTAAAAAATAAAATTAATTTCTGTTATATGTTTTAAATTTCATGCTCGGTAAAATTGACTTAATTTGTTTTGCTAAACTTTCAACTTGCAAGACTGAAATATGATGGAACAAAATTATAAGTATCTTGTAATAAACGCACGCATAGATTGATTTACATTTTGAAATTAAAAGAACGATTCATGATGAGTAACAAATAGAATGTTTGTTTAATTATTTTTGACTGTTACTTTAAGAAAATGTACACTCTATCGTGTCTACAAAAAAAAGAGAGAAATTTATGTGGTATTTTACGCCAGGAGATGTCGAAAAAAATGTTTGTGCTACAATTGACCAATAAAGAAACAATGTGAAGAATTCTCTGTATATAAAATATAATCAAAACTTGCTTGTTTTGGTGACAAAGTCTCTGTATATACGGTGGTACGCAGCACAAGTTGAACAGTTGCATGACTTCTTCTCTTCTCATAGTTTATGTATCATGTGAATTGTTTAGGAAGTGTTGTTTTCTCGCTATTTTCTATTATTGAAGGTCGAAAATCTGACTACGAGATAAGAGAACTGTCCGCTATCCGCCGGAACTCTATCACAAAAATACCATCCCCACCCGTAAGTATGGTTTTAGTCACATGACATTAATGTGCCCATTATATGTATTTAGATATGTTTTGACAAGACCTATAGTTTATGTAAGGGCAAGAACTATAGTTTATGAGAAGACAATAACCATATTTAATGTGCGGACAAGAAACCATCGTCTATGTAAAGGCAAGAAACAAAGTCGATGGGAAAACAAGAACCTATCATGCTTTTGGACTATGATAAAAAGATATTACATCAAGAACGTCAGCCCATAATGATATATTTTTTAATGCATTTACACATTTAGCGTAAAAATTGTTTGTTCGAAAATACATAAATGCACAGTTCCAGATTAGTCACAGAAAAATGAAGCATAATCACGATCGGTGTTATTTAGTCGATTGGTGATATTTAGTCGTAGATCTGACATTTTCTCATGGACATTGAATTATTTTATGCCATCTTCCATACGAGAGGTCAGTGGTTTTACCAACGTGTTCCTTGAATAATGTGCGTACCAAAAAAAATCTACAGGGCCAGAAATAATGGACGATGGACCAGAAATAATGTACAGGGTCAGAAAAAAATGTGGTTCACACAGAAGTAATAATAAATGCACGGACAAGAAATAATGTACGGGCCAGGAATAATTTAGGAATAAGAAATAATGTACAGGACCAGTAATAATGTGATGGACCAGAAAAAATGCTGACATGTCCAGAAATAATGCATGGAAAAAGAATAATATGTATATACAAGAAACAATACACCAAAAATAACGCACGGGCCGGAAATGATATATGGACCAGAAATATTGCACATATCAGAAATATTGTACAGGACGAGAAAATGTACATGGACAAAACAAGTAATGTAAGGACCTGAAATAAATAATGCACGGTTATAAAATGATACATGAACCAGAAGAAATCTACGGAAAAAAATACACGGACAAGAAATAATTGAGGAGCAACTAATTTCAATTATACGGTGTAATAAAGAAAACTAAAGTCAAATTAAGAAATGAAACTAATATATGCATTTCCTTTAAATACATAACGTTTTTAATTACTGTCTTATTTATTTTCAGGGATCTATATTGAAGAACATACTGATAGTATTTCACGTTTTGATTTTATTTGGATTTGGTATTACAAGCATATTGCTTATTGCAATGTGACGACGAAAATCAAACTCAATGTCTTTAAGAGAATAGACGAAAAGGTTAGGAATCTCTTCAGCCGAGTGTAACTTCGCAATGAAGATTCGGTTAGATAAGCCACGGACGACAACTCTTAGGAAAATTTGAAGAAGAAATAACCTTAGACATGAAAAAAATGTGTAAGATGTAGCGGGTTGAGTTGGTCCAGTCCGAGGCGGGAATTGAAGTTCAATTGCTTTAATTAAATGATGCTTTTTCATATTAAAGGAAAGAATCCAATCTATTATTTCCGTCCAAAAATCTTCCTTAATATTTGTTGTGCATAAAGTATAAATTAACATTTCATTTTATATTTCTCTAGGAGGGAATCACTAGAAAATATATCCGTAAATCTTCAAAAAAAATGAATTTGAATCAATTTATTTATTCATATATACTTCTATTTACATACAAATTTCATGTATGTTTCTTTTTTCTAACTGATTTTGAATTAACATTATCATGTATCATATCATATGTTGTGTATTTATATATTATACATATATTAAATAAAGTGTTTTTTGAAGTAATGGCCGTTCATTGTAGTAATTTTTTGTCATATTGACTATCAACCTTTGCAATACTAAATATTTAAAGGACTTGTCTATCATAAAATCAGGACAAAACTATTTATCGTTTTTGTTGCATCAATACATTTTTGACGACGACACTTAAAATTTATTGTATGCATATACACTAGAGAAAATCAGAATTCCTAAAAAAACGCCCAAAACCACAAAATTAAAAATGTTGCTGGCTCGGTTTGATTGAGCCTGTTTATGCACGGTAGAGGCTTTTGCAAGCTACCGTCCATGCCCCCATAGCACAGGCTTAAGTAGAATTCAATATTTTTACAAGAAAATGGTGAAAATTTGAATTTGAAGATACCTGCAGTACTGATAGTTGATGCTAAAACTGAACTACATGTATTTATGCCTTACCGATTGCGAAAGGGAGCTTGCGTATTTCTGTCCAACGAGGTTAAAGCTGCATGCTTCCAGATGAGCCGAAATATTTTCAAGAAATTCAAACTTGAGAAAAATGTAGCGTTAGTAAGATTAAAAAAAAGTTAAAAGATTCAAGTAATAATTTTCAGGTTTTGTACGATAATTATTAACTGATTTAGCAGTATTTAACACCATAATTCAACTGCGTGACTCGTATTTTTGCATACTTTGGCCTCTTTTAAGTAATTTACGTACGGCAAGTGTCGTTTGGAGTGTGTGAATTACTTTCATTGTTCCCTTCACAATATTTTTACATTTTTTAAATTTTCATGAAAATTAGCATGGATCTGGAGACATGCTGCTTTAAAAAATATACATGCAGGGTATTTTGTAAAGTCCCAAATAAGTGATATTTTGAAGAAGAAGAAAACATTTCCCCTTCTCAGCTCAAGAAATGTTTATTATCAATATTTGAAGACAAATGTGGAAAATATTTTCTGTCTTTTAATGGGAAAGAAAATGAAATAAGAAAATCACTGAAAGTTGATCATTATCGAGAAAAGAAAAAGCCTGTGGATATATTTTTTAAAAATCAAAGAAAATATGTATGTGTGACATTTCAGAATGTTTAATTGACCATCCGGTTGTCCCAAAGCAACTGTCCTGTTATATTTATATATTTTAAAATAAGTCTTTGTAAAATAATCTGTGCACGCTTTTAAAACCAAATAAATTCTGATTTAATAAAGCGCTATAACATAGGGTTATTATAAGAGTATCTTGTATCATGGAACTTTATTTAAATCAATTGGCTTTTACTTGTTTAGAATCTAACGAAGCGCGAAAGTGCTGAGAGTGATTTGTGTTATTAAAATCCATTAAAGCCATACTTGATCAAGATATTTTTACAATTACCATTTATTTTACACGGACGTGCAGGCTGGGCCTGGCTTAATGCTGGTGGAAAATACTTAACACTTTCAGGTCCATCACGGGATATATGAAAGTTAACAAAGATTGGACTCTTAATTTTCGGATGAAATTTTCATTTACTGGTGTGTGTGTGTGTGTGTGTTGGTGTGTGTGTGTGTGTGTGTTGGGTTTATTTACCCTCGCCACCGGTATAAAACCATATGGGCGAGCATATAGGGAAAAACTGTAGTTAGTTAAATAACTGCATGCATATGTGAACAGTGAGTGCCCCAAATAGGCAAATAATTGCCGTAGATGAAGCCGGAAAAAGGTGAGATTATATCCCACACTTAGATTAAAAAACTGTATTTAAAAATTAAACTTAAATTAAAAAGGGGGGAAAACGCTTATACGCGTACGCCTTCTATACTGGATTAAATTTGAAAGTTTATTTATATTTATTCAACTTAGCACCTGTGGTTTACAATTGTAAGCTACAGCTTGACGTGTTTTCATTGGTTGACGTCAAGACCACTATTAGTCTGTCCCTTCCAAAATGGAAATGAACTTTTTCCTTGTATGAAGTAAAAAAAAACGAAGTTGACTCTTTAATAATCTAAAAAATAAAGGTCACCCTCTTCATTTTCAGGATTTTTCTCTGAATTGTCTACTTTTATTGTAAAAGCAAATTTTGATTTCTCTACGGCAAGTCTCTGTTGTTTATTTTTCGCAGCTTTTGATGAAGTACTCTTTATTTGAAGATAAACGGGAGAAAGCATGTGTCACGTTATAGGTAATTCCACTCTGCTGCAGGCTAAGTGGTATGGTATTTTGCGTGACATAAGATACTTTTGTTAAAACAAAAAAAAACCAACACAAGCATCTTTTAAAGAATTTATTCTAATTTTTTGGAAGAAGATGGTCGATTTTATTTTTTGGTGACTTCACAGATTACAGTTACAGTAGTCCATTTTGCGCACTTGCTTGGTTCGGTGCTGGCCTCGGTTCTATTCCTAGTAACTCTATATCAAAAAGAAGATCAGCGTTCCGCGGTATAGTAACCGTTGTTAAGGTAAATAAAACTGAAATGGTATGTAGATTACAAAATATAAATCATGTGATATCAGTATGTCTATTGAAGATCTTTTTTAAAGGAACTGCACTGACGTCCAAACATCTTAAACATAGAATTTGAAATTCTCACATAGACCTCGGGCATTTAACACAAGAAGAAAGAAGGAAATAGAGTTTGATGTGGAATATACATATATAAATACAACCTAAAATAAACTGTGATCCGTCTCCAAAACAAACAAAAACGTAAAATGATCGCTTCTGTATAAAGACCGTTTTCATATTTAAACCACCTTTATAAATATACTATGTTTGTATATTAATATTTTACTCGTTTATTGATCACTTTCAAATTAAAAACACCTTCGAAATATGTTCCTATTACCTTTGTATACAAATAACATTAACCCAAAGATTAATACAAATTATCTTCATATAAACGTTTCCTACCAGAAACTATTTATTTACACAATGGAACAATGAAAGTGCTATATAGATACATGTTTTGACAGACAACGAAAACACATATTACACAATGTATGTACTGATGCGATATTGAAAATACATGTAAAATATTTAAGTACATAATTAAGTATCTTTAAAAAGGATATGCTGGTGGTGAACCATTAGGTCCATACGCTAGGTCTGATGGTATATCAAACCATGCACGATCCCCAACTCTCATCTGAAAACAAAACATAACAAAAAATAGAAAATAAGACTTACTATTGTATTTAAAATATAACATAAACTTTGTAAATAAGAGAGTGTTAAGTCTGAAGTTTTAAATCAAACCTGTTTTGTATGTGGCTGATTTTCTGCTTCTTTGCAGTGGGGGACACAGCGGTGGGGGGGGGGGGGCAAAATTCATAAAGTTCACTAAAATGTGCATCGGTTAAAATATATTGATTTCTGGTAAAATTATTTGAAAATAGCGGAATTTTTTTTACCGAATTTACTGCAATGTCCCAACCGGATATAACTTCTCCTTTAAAGAGAGTGAATCTAAATGGGTCATTCCTGTCACGTGACGAGTCAAACTTCGTGCCAATAGTATTATTAACTCCCTTGAGATTGCCTGAAATGATACATTAAAAAACAAATTTGGGATTTAATTTATATATTGAAGCATGTTAAAAATGTATACAGTATTAGTAATAAAGTCGGTGGTATAAACATGCATCGTCAAAGTTTGGCAAATTCCGTTATTTTTGTTTATAAGGATCAAGTACCAGTAAGCGTCGATTCGACATATACAGCAACATAATTAAATGTTGTCATATGAGCGCTCTATTAATTATAAATTACAATAAATTGAGAGGTCCATTTATTACAAATCAATATAAATTAAGCGGAAAGTGCACTACGCTAAGAAGACATACGGCTGGACAAGGTCAAGTCATCCTATGTTGTTGAACTGGCATGACTTACTTGGAAGAGTGGTCCTACAAAGACCCTTTTAAAAAGATACGCCATGAATGAAGTTGTCTCCTGCTTCTCCTATTAAATGAGGATTTGCGGTAAGATCAGCATTGCAAAGACTTCAAATAAGGTAACAGATGTGGACCGGCAAGGGCACACTATATCTCAGACATACGGTTTATTCTATCGCCGAATACAGAACAAAGAGATCATGAGAGATGGCCGAATTTAGACGAGCGAAGGGCTGGTGAAATACTTTTTTACAAATAAGAACTTGCCTGTATAATGTACGATCACCCTGTCGCCAGATTGCGGTTTAGCACCTGTAAATAAAAACCGACATCATTTTACAAACTGTAAAGTAATAAAAAAATGCAGAATGCCTTTGTACTATTTTTACGACAGTGATATCAAATGTATAGCTTTACATTTTTTCCTCGTTTCATAAACTATTTCAGTTTTATAAATCTAGAAGTAAAAGGCCTTTAACATGAGAATCCAAAAGCCGGAGTCCCGCTATTTCCCCGAGCGTGGAGGGACTGCAATAGGAAAATAGGTAAACATGTTTTCTGTCTTGTGTCGCGGTATTTTCATTGGTCAGTGCCCATTCTGTTCCGTCTCTGTCCAACCAATTACCTGAGATTGAGCTAAGACAATATTTTTATAATCTCGCACCCTAGTATATTACTAAAAGTAACCATTAAGACACGCGACATAAATATACTCTTGTAATAAAATAGTATTATCCAGACAAAAATATGCATTAGTTATTCGTTTCAGTCAAAAAAAACACCAACACAATCTTAGATTATGAAGATCCACTTTTACATGAAAGAAAATATATATATGCAAACAAATTTCACTTAACGTATTTTTACATACAAAAATGTATATCTAACCTGATGGGTTTTCTTTAACTTTGTATTTGCGAACAGGTCGAGTTTGACAGTCAACATTCCAAATGAAAACCGCTATGATCAAACATATACTCCAATTCATTGTGAACAATTGCTGACTGTACTAGTTCGTTTGCCTAACGTAACGTGAAATACTAGTATAATCGTACGTTAACGTCAGTGCATTGCATGCATCACAATAGGCTATACCGTATGAAAAGTTTGCTTCATGTAATTTCTCATTACTAAAAGGTAGAACGCGACACTTTGCGAACTTTCGAGTAGCGTCTTAAAAATTGGCATGCAAAAAATAAGCAATATTTCTGATAAGATTCCGTTGATTTTATTCCAATAGTTTCAGCCAATTTTTGTTCACACGACGTCAAAATTGACCATCAAAGCCCGTTTTTATTTGTTTGGGTCGTCAGACCAAACAAATAATGGTAGCGAAATTTCAGACTCTAATGCTGTTAATTGCAAGTGCCGAAAGTAGTCCACTTTTTTGAAGCGGTTACTTCCCTTTATATGTAAACTAACGCCGAAAACTTCAGGGGAGATCACTGCGTAAAGATGGTCAAATGACAGGCGCATTAATTTTCAAGCAAAATAATTCCCGAATGGTGGAAGATTTATAATATTGTTTTATTCTTTATAGATATACATGCTTATAGTAAGCGTCACGATTATTTACACAAGTGTTAAACAACAGTTAGCGTCGTTACAAGTCCTAATTTAGAATAATATGGTTTTCTTCAGGCCGTCAACATATAAATTCACCGTGGCCGAGGGTTTTGCGCGCTCGCTTAGAAAAAAGAAAGGTCTGGAGTTCAAATCCCTGATAAGGAAACTCATTTTTTTACCAAATTGTTTAAGTGAAATAAACATTGGATTGAATATCAGTGTTACAATTAGTCTTTTAGCCAATTAACTACAATTAAAACGCTGGAAAGCATTGGTGGCACTATACAAAAACAACCTTCACCTTCTTGACATTCGGAGAACTAAACAAATTCAGCGCCTTCTGTGCTTTAATTTAACATGGCGTCGTTTAGTATAATTGGCGTCTGTTACGGGTATCGCAACGCCATTGGCGGACAAAATATCTTAAATTCTACAGCATTCGACGGAAAATATTTTTCCTTTAAGCTGATATAAAATTTTACACAAAATTAACAATTTTCTTGCCATTTTTCAAACATTTTTTCGGCGTTAAAAGATAAATTTTATATCAGCTTAAAGGAATACTGTAGAATTTAAGATATTTGGTCAACTTTTTGCATACGCTACGTCGCGTTCTACCTCAAATGTAAAAATACTCGTCATTTTAAGAAGAATTACGTGTACTACATGTACATATAGTGTATAAGAGATAATAATGATATGATGAATATGTTTCTACAAATACTGCAGATAATAATGATGACGTATATGATTACAATTATATAATAAGGAAGAAGAAGAAAATGATGACGACGAAGAGGATGGTAGTGGTAGCGATTAAGTCAAAATATTTTGACGTCCCAAAGCTAGATTCTAAGATAGTTTTGTTCTTGGTCAGAATCTCGCTTCTTTGTCAAATCCAGAAACAGATCTTTCTGTGGTGAAACGTAGATTTTGGTGAAAAGAGGGGGGACAAAATAGCACCAACGCGTAGTACAATTAGCTGGACTAACAGCAACTCTAATGGTTGTAATGAGAATACATAGGAAAGGGCGATAAATGATAAAAACGATGTTTCTGACTATGACGACAACGACGACGACGACGATGATGATGATGATGATGCATTCACAGCAGAATGCATTACAAATTTAATACTAAAGCACTAAATCCGTCTAGGTGTTAGAAAATTTTACACCCTTACACCTTAACGTCAAAATGTTAAAGCACTACCACTTTTAACAGTATTTTTAACTTGCAACAGATCTGAAATTTGATTAAGGAAAAGAAACCACAATACAATGTATATATAAGATGTATTTGTGAGAATATTGGTCAAATTTAACTAAAGCAAAGCCTGTCAAATCTATTCTTAATGTGCATGTATACGCATTTATTTCAATCCAAGAATGAAAAACATAAATTGCAATTGACTTGGCCTAATTCATGAATAAAACTTACTTGAACGTAAGGTTTTTTGACAACTGTATAGAACGGGAGAAAGGTATATTTAAAGAGCCCGTTGACTCATCAATTATAAATGTCAAGTTCTTTGTATAACTTGTCATCGTGATGAATATATCTAATAATGGCTGTCTTTATTTTACATTACTTTGATACAAACATAAGCTATTTAATTTCACAGTCCTTAATGGGATTGCTCTTTTTGTAAAGTCCAATCGTGCTTCAAAGTCGGTTGTGATGAAAAGTAACCTTATCTACTATTTCTTTATACATAAATTTGTATTTATTGTATATAGATGTGTTTGTATTGCATATCTTTGTCCTATTGTATGTATGTGTCAGTATTGCATATCTATATATATTGTCTTACAAACCCTATAACAAGTAGAGAAACTGATAGCGAACAGCATGGATCCTGATCAGACAGCGCGGATACGCAGGCTGGCCTTGATCCATGCTCGTCGCAAGCGCACTAGCTATATGTTGGTTGTGTCATGGCGCGGCTCATATGTGTATTTTATACTTTGCACCTGCTAAATGCTCCCACTTGGACCATTTTTTCGTCGACTCGAAGGTAAAATACAATTTTATTATAAGAAAACGTAAGAGTATTAAAAAATCATGTAGCGCACCAAAGAAAGGCTATAGTACTTGAGATAATTGTAAAAAAAGTTTATAGATTTATTGCCTGGTTTAGGCCTGAAAACGGGATAAGTGATTTTCTCTGAATGCTCCCACTCGGACTTCTTTCGAAACATTTATGAAATAAGGTTGAAAACCTTCTTTAAAATTATTTTAACGTACCGGAACAAAAAGCGAGTCGTGTATATCCATTATTCTATATTAGTTTCGAATATTTCTATTCAAAAGTCAGTTTTTCTTAATTCATTTTATAAAAATGGAAATGCTCCCACTCGGACTCAACTTCAGAGATGCTCCCACTCGGACCTAATTATATACAAATTTTGAAAGCACATTGCTGTGTTAAGATATTATTATCTTTTCAAAATATCTTTAAATTCACGTTTATATTTCAATATATAATCAGTAAGAATTCAATGTATAAGCATTTTTGAAATACGATACTAATAAACAGTCTCGTAAATATGTCTTCTTAGAGGATTAGTTATCGGCCTGAGAATAAGAAAAAAAGTTGTGTTGAAACAATTCCTCGTTTAAAAGAGTCGCTTAAATAAGAAACAAATTGATTATACATTAAAAAAAATAACGTTTTGTTTTGCAGAAAGTATTTGTGTTTGTGATCAGTATGGGAAAAGGTACATGTATAAACCACATTACGACGTAATGAAGCACATGGCAGGACATCTTAGCTCGGCATAGCTGGAGTAAATATTTTAGATACCAACTGTGGATATATCTCAGTTAGGAGGAATACTCTAGAATATTTCTTTGAAGTAATTGTCTTTTGTTCAGTTTTTTTTGCGTTAATTTTTGGACAATGTGTCATAAAGGATCAATTCATCTGAAACTTCACTGGAGGATAGATTTCAATAAAGTTAAATACCGCAAACAAGAATGACAACTCTCCAGTTTTGGAGTTATTGCTCTTTGTATTCACTATCATTAGTTTGCAAGGACCATACCTCTAAAGGTATTTGAGATATAAACATGAAACTTTATATTGAACATGTTAAATAGAAGTGAATAGCAGAGCATAAGGACCAGAAGTGTTCACTAATGCTTCTTTGTTGTTTTTTCTTTGTTTTTTTTTTTCATGGGAGTGTTATTTTTGTCATGATCTATTATGTCTAGGCTATAACTTTTCTTTAATTTTCACGAGTGTCATTACTTGGAATTTTTACACGTATGTAAGCCAATGTAAGGGTTACTTCCTCTATGAAATGTACTTCCTCCTTTGCGGCGGGGGATTTTACTGTCTGTGATTCCTTTTTGTATTATTGTTATTATTTTAACGTCATTTAAATATCCTGAAATAATTTTCTATGGTTTTATATCATAAATAAAATGCTCAAATGAGGATTTATCCATACTGTTTGTTCCAAAAAGCATTATCTGTAAAGATAATACCGAATTTACATTTCATAAAGGGAGTTAATTAGAAATATAGTTTCTATTAAGTGTATGTATGTATGTATGTATGTATGTAGTTAAAGCTTAATGAGGGTCCATCCGCCCTTTCGGGCACAAAATGCAGCTTGCGCTGTCGAGTACGGACCCCGGACATGTCACCAGTCATGTCCTTAAAGAGTTAATTTTGAAGCACAAAATGGTGATAATTTACCTCCATGCAATTTCCACGGAGTATTAGCCAAAGATATGAATTTTGAGCCGAAAAGTAGGTCACTGTACGGCGGTCAATGAGAACCTAAATGTACAGCAACCTGTGACAATAAAGGAAAGGTGTTTTAGCCCTGAAAAGGGCTGTTTGTGCCAGCTATAGGCCTGCCTTACAAGCCGTCAATCTGTGCTAGGGGCTCACGCACCCTAGCACACCATCCTCGTCGTCTCAGCCTACTTTGTAGGGCCACTCCCCTCGGCATTAGTCAGGACATCGGCAGCTGGTCCGCAGAAGTGACGAAGTAGTTCCGTAGTTACCGCCCACGGTTGAAGGCAAAATTTAAGTTGAGTCTACCAGCCAAGTTGTAAATCTTCTGCCGATGCCCTGTGCCTTCTCAGCGACGTGCACGCTCCGAGGGGATGTGAGAAGTCTATTAAGTGTAAGTTGAATTCTTCAATAAGAAATGAATGCATTATGCATATATGTATATTTTAATGATTACATATAATGTGGACAAGCATTTGCAGTACGTATTTTACATATTCCTTTATGTTTGAAAATTGTTTTAGTACCATAATTATTAATACATACATGTATATACACAATTTCAGTTTTTTAAAATAAACATAAAAAAAATTTTTAAAACTTAAAAGAAATACATGATTTTTTTTATTTATTTTAAATTTTTTTATTTTGGGAAAAAAACGTACACATGAAACTTTCATATTAAAATTGTCAAAATTTTCAAAAATTGTGGGTGCTTTTTGTGCCCTAGTATGGCAGTATGACTTTTTAACCAGTTCATGACAAAAATGATTTACATGTTGTTCTTTAATAAACTATTCAAATCAACCGAAAGATGTTGACTTCTCTATGTTCATAAACGTACCATTATGATGTTTTAAAACACGCAAATCATTGGGTTTTAAATTATTAACAAGATATTAAAGTCAGCAATTATTGAATAAATGCTGGCCTCTAATATGTACACGAGTCCAACAGAATCTTAATCCAGTATGGCACTAAACAATGTATAATGACTTCTTTATAAAACACCACCATTTTTTTTAACATCTAAACAAAACTTTATTCTTGAGATCCAAACTGTCCATTTAAAGTCTTATAGTCCTAGCTTTGTTGTTGGCAATAATTTTAAATTATCCCTTCGGATCCAACACAAGCCAAGTGCACCTTTTGTATAGTGATCCTATCAGTTGAAACTTTGTCATGGCACCTTGTTCTATCTATCCAACGACGTCATTCTACAGAATCAAAGAAGTGATCTCTGTAAAAAGAAGGAAAAAGTATAATGTTGCCAAACACAGTAGTTATTGACAAAATGGTCTTAAAATTGTGAGAATAATCCAATAAAAAGCTTAACACAGCAATGCGCTTTCAAAAACTGTATATATTTGGGTCCCGAGTGGGAGCATCTTCTGACATTCGAGTCCGAAGTGGAGCATTTTTCCATTTTTATAAAATAAACTTTAAAAAACTGACTTTTTGAATAGAAATATTTTGAACATAATATAGAAAAATGTGTAAACATGACCGGTTTATATTCCGGTACGTTAAAAATAATTCCAAGAAGAATTTTCAACCTTATTTCTTATATGTTTCGGGAGAAGTCCGAGTGGGAGCATTCAGAGGAAAAACACTTATACGCCGTTTTCAGGCCTATACCAGGCAATGAATCTATAAACTTTTTTTACAATTACCTCAAGTACTATAGCCATTCTTTGGTGCGCTACATGATTTCACAATACTCTTTCGTTTTCTTATAATAAAATTGTATTTTACCTTCGAGTCGACGAAAAAATGGTCCAAGTGGGAGCATTTAGCAGGTGCGCGATGACGTAGTATCCTACCATTGTAAATTCTGTTTGATGAATACACAGCTGTCAAAATAATTGGACAAAGCATTGGCCAAGTCTGATATAGGTTTTACAGCTTTCCGTACGAGTCCAGTAGAATCAGTATTGTTCCCAACCATGTTTATGTTTTTTTTACCTTATAAAAGAGAATAGTCGGCAATTTGGCATGTAATGTGGATATCTTTCTATTCACAATATTACCTCAATAGTGTGCCATGAATTTTAACATGTAACAATACATGTATATTAATTATCACTATTCTCTCTAAATACCAAGTATAATAATTTTGGTTACAAATGAATGTTTTCTCGTCATTTTCACTTTCCAGTGATTATAAAATATTTGACAAATTTAACAACATTAGTATAATTTACGAATTCTCAATCAGTTAACAGACGAACATAATTGTCATGGGTACAACAATGATATACAATATAATAATATTTGAAGATATATTATGAAAACATAAATAAAAATACAATGCACACTTATTGATTAAACATTCAAGTTCTAGACATTCATCCTTCAACAGAGTGATACAGTTAATGATAGTGATGATGCTGCTGCTGCTGCTGCTGCTGCTGCTGCTGCTGCTGCTGCTGATGATGATGATGATGATGATGATGATGATTATTATTTTTTTTAATTATTATTATTATTATTATTATACCGGAAGTACAGCTAGGATTCTTGGATGGATGCCTCTTAACTTTAAAATAATTAGAGGGATTAGATATTCTGCTTCGAAGTTTATCATTTAACACCCTCTGACATTCGGTAAGAAAAAGTAAATTCTTTATCAACAAATTGATTTTCCAAATTTGGTAAAAAATGAAAGTTTAAAGTATATTTATTTTTTGTAATTCTTTATTTATAACAAAAATACCTTTTTCAAAAAGTACACACTTGGCGTACGTAAAGCACCCTCGTCTTGATTTTGGAAACGAGGACATGTCCCTACACCTATAAAATAAAAAAAAACTTTATTTTTTTCTATCATTTGTCGTACTTTGGTATAAAATGATACTTCATTAAACCTGTCCGTTAATTAATTTAACGTTAATTGGATTAATAAAATATTGGTTGGAGACGCTAGGTTTTTGCAGCTGTGTATGAGTCCGATATAATCAGTACGTATTGTGAACAACATTTTGACGGAACTTGCTACTTCGAGTAAAAAAAAGGATTTTGATATAAATTGGTGAAAACGAGACCAGACGGAGTACAATTGTGATTGATATGGAATTTTGGAGTGGCAAAACTATCGCGGGTGATCAGCATAATGGTTGTTGCGGAATAAGATGTGCAGGATTTGACAAGTTTTATTAATTCCTGCAGCAATTAAAAACTGCATATAGAGACTTATATATTACTCTATAAGTACATGTATAGTATATATTGAAAGAATTTGGTATCCAGGTCTCACGTACGATTTCACGATTGATTTTATTTTCCTTGCTAACATTGGTCATATTAGGCTGAAATAACATCATAATGTTGTTTTGTTTTGTTTTTGTTTTTTTAATGCTTATATTTACTTAAGTGCGAAATTTACAAATTGAAATAGAAATTACAATAACAACTCAGAGACATAGATAACTATAATTATAGTTATCTATAAAGATGTCTGTGAACAACTGGAGGATCAATATTTGGATAATTTTTTAACGCCAAACTGTATAGTATTATCTTGAAAAGAAATAAAAATATGATTGTTTTTCTTTTTCCTAAAATTCCATTTCCATAAGCCATTTCAAGTCCGCGCGTAAAGAATATGAGAAATTTTGAAATTCGGACGACAACAACATGTAATATGGTAAATATATTATACTCTGCCAAACAAATAAATTGCACTTCCGGGTTGTCCACGTTAACCTATTTTCACGTAATATTCCAAAAAGGTGAGACTAAATTTATTATTTATTGTCACATATACGTTTTACGCAATAAGTTTTGAGTGAATTTTGTTTTTATGCAAAGCAACAATTTTGAAATCGTTTGAAACTTTTTTTTTTTAATTTTACTTTTGACAACTCTAGACTAATAAAGCATAATTTTCAAGTCTCAAGTCGATCGATAATTAAAACAGGCGGGTGAAAAAACCCGAACGGGCTTATGACATAAAAAGTCATATTTCTTAAAAAATAATAAAGATATTTCTTTTAAACTTTGTTTTTTTATTGAGCATAATAATTAATATCTGACCATGCTGACATAAACAGAAAGAAAAATAATTGGTTACTGTCACTTTTTTGAGAATTATTTCCCCTTTTTCATGTTTATATGACACATAATTTTTGAAGAAGGCAATGGTACAATAGTGAAACTGGGATTGTACGATGGTGAAAATGCGATGGTACGATGGTGATGGTACGATGGTGAAAACGCGATGGTACGATGGTGTGTCCGTGATGGCAGGATGAGGAAAACATGATGTCACATCGCGTTTTCACCAGCATACTATCGCCGTTTCCACCATCGTACCATCATGCATCACGGGTAAAGACTAAATTAAAAGTAACAATTGTCCAAACGGAACACCGTAAATACAGTGTTTTTTTTTCTTTATATAACTACTACCCTAAAACGGTACCATTCCCAATAGAAAATAGACATTAAAATTTCCAATGTTAAATTCCCAAAATGGCTGTTTAAAATGCCCACAAGGCCAAGTGATTTTTCTAAAATCATTTGAATCCAACATATTCATATAAATCACCACTCAATAGTTCTATTTTGACAGTAGAAGCTGTTAGCTATCTTTATTCATGATGTCTAATCTCATTTGTAGCTGAAAAAATGCATTAAAAAAATTCCCAATTTTAGTCAAAGTAACGCATTTTTCCCAATCAGTCTGGTACCGGCACCATTCCCAAAGTAGAGAAAAAAAACGCTGAAATATCAGAATAAAGATATAGAATTTTAATATATAATTCTATATTTCATGTTTTTGTATTTTTTCTGATAAATACAGAAAAATATTGGAAATTCATTCAGAATATAGCTGGTGTTGAGTCTTTGTCAATAAACAGATTTTTTGCCAGAAATTGACACAAAAATAGAGAGGATCTGTGCCATGGTCACTACATTAACTGGAACTGGAAATCAATTTGAGACAGGGGTGGTGGGCTAAAAATGCAGGGCATTGAATGGTATGAAGATAGCACAGATATATATAACACAGGTCAGGTCAAAGATGCTTTGTCCAAAAATGGGCCTCAGTAGGAGGTAGGAAATGCCAAGAAAGAGGGTGGAAATATGGGAATGGACAGTAAATACTTAATACATGTATATAGGATATCATACCTGACCAACACAATATACATTAACACAAGAACACTAATAAGATAGTAAGTCATGAAGATGGGTACAAGTTTCACAAAAAGGAGCACTGAGGAGCACATCATATATGACAAAAACTTGGGCTATCTTTCACCTGCATTAGGCTAAATTAGCTTTCACCTATATAAGGCTATGAAATTAGCATTCACCTATATATAAGGCTAAACTGTAGTTCCTAGAAAAACAATTATAGAGCTGAAATTCATGTTGTTATCTGTTATGCATGCATACAGCTTGTGTTTTTGCCTTAAGCTTCATTTAATTACTGATGAAATCTATATCAGATATTAGGTAATGTCCAAATCAATTACATTATGTATGAGTAAAAATATTGATATTGTGGTCATAGCTGTATGGTTCAATCTTTTTCTTAGTTCATAAAAAGACTTTAGCATACATGTGTGTATATGAGTTTATTTATACTCATCACCAGTTGTCCATATGGGAGAGTCCTCCTTGACAGTGTTAGTCATTTTGGATTTTGGAGAATAATGCAAGATATTACATAAACATTTCCCAATTCCAGAAGCTTCTCCTGGTTCTTTAGCATGCCAAGTGTTTTAGCACTCCTATGAGGGACCTTGATTTAAATTCTCGGAAAGACTGCTTAGTAATTTTAGTTGTCCAGCACAGGATTCGGACCACAATGTTGAGATTCAGACCTTAAGCTGAGTGGGCAGGTTATAATGGTGAACCTTTATCATAAATTATTTCATGCTTAAGTAGCGACAGACCTTTCATAATCCAGCTGAATAGTTTCTTTGACATGAAAAACTTCAAGCATGAAATGCACAAAAATAAACTTTTTTTATTAAGTAAAGCTTGTTTGTTTAGAATATAAAGTTGAGTTGGCTGTGGCGTTGTTGTCGTGCAAAAACTTTGATATATCCCATTATACAAACATTTTACAAGTACATTGTAATCAACATGAAACTTGGAATACTTTCTTATCATGATTAAGTGCAGTTGTTAGCCAAGGGGCATGATTCTGAAAGCAAAATGTTTTGAGTTACATTGTATGCCCCTTTTTGACTAAGAATTTTCAACAGACAAGCATTTACACCACATGCTGAACTCTTGTTGTAAAAAATGCATCAGATATTACTTCATATTATTTGATTTAGCAATTTTAAATGTGCTTCAAAGTTGTTTTCTTAATTATAACAAAAAAAAGGTAATTTTCTAGTTTTATTTTATTTTAGATTTATACTAAAATGATGATGTTCAATCATTTTTGATATGTATTAATTTATCAGATTTATTATCCCAAGCATCCTCAAAAACAGCGAAATAAATTTTCCCTTAATTCATTTAAAAAATTGTATTTAACAAATAATAACTTCTGTGGGTGCACTCTTTTTGTTTTGTCTCATTTCTGTTTGATAAGATTTCATCATGACATGTTTATTTGTTGATTACGATCTTTGATCTTTGGCATATGTAATCAAATGGCCTTAAGGAAATTTAATAAGATAATATTTGTTATTTCCTATATATTGTTGACAATAAAAGTTTAATTAAATTCAAAGCAAGTATAAGTTTGTATAAGTTCAGATGTTTAAGTTTTTAATTTTTGACTGTATTTTCATTATATTATAATTTTACTCTTCTTTCAGTGATATCATTTGTTTGTTTTGTGTTGTTTTTTTTTTTGTGTGTAAATATCTTGGGTTTTTTCTTATAGGAATATTATTTAATACAGAGTCAAGCTGGTTTCTTTGGTGAGTTGTGTGTTACGAGGACTAACTGCTGCCTCAACAGTTGGACGTATATCTTTACGAAGTATTCATACCTCGAATATCATGGCCAAATACAATGTATTATTTGTGCTGGGTGGACCAGGGGCTGGTAAAGGAACACAATGTGACCTTATAGTTAAGGTAAGAGTGCTTTAATTAAAGATAAGAATGAACAATTATTGTAATCAAATTAGTATTCAATTTGTTATAAATGTAATTTCTGACGTCAAGGCAAAAAAGAAAAAAGACAGGCAAATTAAAATGATTAGTTCTGTTTCTCAGGCAGGTATGACTTGTATGTTTTTATACCTAGGCAAAGAGTGTTTTTGAATGAATTTATTAAAACAAAGACCAAAGAATGATGACCTGTTATGATTACTTTTTCATGAAATAAATTTCTATTATTATTTATACCAGGTACGTATGTTAATATACGTACCTGTTTATACCTCTTGTTTTAATTACTATAGAAATAATAACAGTTTGATACAGTTTTGAAAAGTGATATAATTTAGCTTCAAGCTTGCACCATGCAGATGTATAAATGCAGTGAACTTTATTGATCATGTATTCATCGAATGCTTACTTTTTCATGTTTGATCAATGTAAGTAAATTCTGTCATTTTCTTTTCTTTAGAATTACGATTATAAACATTTGAGTGCAGGGGACCTACTGAGGGAGGAAAGACAAAGAGCCGGGTCACAATATGGGGAGGAGATTGAGGGCCATATACGTGCTGGTACCATTGTACCAGTAGAAATAACTTGTTCCCTGCTTCAACGTGTAAGTTTTAAAAAAAATATTTTTCTTCTTATTTTATTGCCCATCATTACTATGGCTTCTGACTGTAAATTCTTTCATGTGAGGAAATAGCTGGGACAAGTGGAAGGGCAGGTAAGTCTGAACTTCATTATTTGATGAGCCGTCATCTCACAGTTTACATGTACATCACATACCGGTATTGTCACCTTTGTGCAGTAACAACTTAACTCCTTTAAAAATTATGAGGGCTTGCATGTAAGTGCAGGGATTTTTTTGGGCTTATTTTGTAGCTGTTATTGGGTCATATTCCCAATTGAAATTAGTATATTATTTTCCCAATCCACAGAAAAATATTCCCAATTGAAAGTTACAAAATAAAAATATTGAATATTGAATTCTAAAATCTTTGAAAATAAGAGCTTTTTCACTGTAATAGTGCTTAAATGTTTTAAGATGCAATCCTAGACAGTGATTGTTTACATTCATTTAATCACTGCAAAATTTCAGTCATACATTTTTCCCAAATTTTTATCAAAGCATCGCCGTGATTCCCAATTCCATGGGTATGGGTCATGTTCCCAAAATCCCTGAAGTGGCAATGAAAAAAAGCAGGCTGTCATGTAGAAAGGTATTTTGTAAGCAAACAAAGTTTCAAAATGAAAATATTTTAGATCAAAATTAAAAAAAAAATGAATAAGAGACAGATTTACGGGTGCAAGAAATCGTCGCCTGTAAATGATAATTATTTCATAAGGAAAATGGTGTTTTTAATTCTGATTAAAAGTTTACATTATAATTAGATGTATATTTAAAAGGTTAATTTTTTTATTCAGGCAATGGAAGATAGTGGCAAAAAGAATTTTTTAATTGACGGTTTTCCAAGGAACAAAGATAATTTGGATGGATGGAATAAAGCTATGGACGATGTGGCAACTGTAAGACGTGTGTTATTCTTTGATTGTCGTGAGGATGTAAGTAAACATTAAAGGCACATTAGTTGAGCTGAATTGACTAAACATTTCAAAAAAATAAAATGGACTGTTAATTTTAATAGTGATTGACCAACAGTTTGATATTAGAAAATGGTTGAGATAAAATATAATTCTGCCTGAAATATAAAAAGACTGCCCCACTCTTTAAAAATTGAACATTACAGGTAAATTCTGATTGATATTTACAGAAATTTTGTTGGGCCACTTAAGTAATTGATTCTTCATGCCAAGTAAATTATAAAAATGAAAGGTATTATTATTGATATCTATTTTCTAAACAACAGAGCAAAATAACAAATTATACTATATTTGTAGGTGTGTGTAGATAGATGTTTAAATAGAGGTAAAACAAGTGGCAGGTCTGATGACAATATGGAAAGCTTAAAAAAGAGGTATTTACATTCTTATATGAAGCATTTTGATACTAGAAAAGTATACCAGTTCTTTATGATTACTCTTGACTTTAATTTCAAATATTTTACATTCTTTTATGAAGCATTTTGAAAAGACTTGAAAATAGCAAATTTAACCAATTCTTGATTGTTATTACTCTTTAATCTCAAAAAGGGATATTGTTTTATCTGTAAGGAAGTCTGCTGTTTGCTACATTGAATTATTTTAAGTAAAAGAAGTATTTATACATTTTTTCCTTATCATAATATAGTAGGTATTACGATATCTATATGCCCTGAATTACAAGTAGACTGTTCCAAATTCAAAGCCATATACACCTGAATATTTATAATGAACATGTCCTGTTTTGAATTTGGAATCACCCATTGTTAATAAAAGGGGTTTTGATATCTGAGTGCTGAAATGAAGATTGCAGCAGTATAGAGTCTGGTTATAGTCAAATATACTAGTCTCCATTGTTCTAGACTCCAGTGTTTGTGAATTTACTAATTAATAGTATATGAAATATTAGTGCTTTTGTACTTTTATACTTTTTCTTTTTTAAGAAAAAAAAATATTTTGTCTTGTTATTTCAGACTTTACAAAAAATCTTTTTGTTTCCTTGTTTCAGAATTCACACATATAACAATTCAACTATGCCAATTATAGACCATTATAAAGCTCTAGATTTAGTGAGTCATTTACATGCAGAAAAAACACCAGATGAGGTAACTTATATTCGCTTATCACTCATTTGATACCATAGAAAAGACTAAGTACATTTCTTTTGTTCTAGTATCCAACAGAAAAACAGCATTAGGAACTCTACATTTTATCTTCTTTACTGCCCTTTATAGCAGCAGGGGAGCATACTCTTACTCATCAATTAGTCCTGTAGTGGTAGATGTTTCTTGTGATATCATTTGTGTTGAATATCGCAGTATTGATATATCAATTGATACAATATTAATTTACAATTTAGAATATTGATACAATTTTAAAACCCATTTCTTCATGTCTTGTGAAAATATCACTCTATTTTGTGCAAAGGAAAAACAAAATCCCTTTTCTCACTTTTTCTTGCCTTAAATTTGAACACTGGATTTAATTTTCAAAATTCTGTAAGATATCATAACAAGTAAACATTCGTTTGTTTGGTATTGTGTATTTGTGATGTATGAAACATGCTTGCATAGACCATAACAGTTTAAATAGTTACGAATATTCAAATGTACAAGCTATTGAATTGGATATATCGTCGATATTCAGCATTCGATATATCAATACAAAATTTTCCATCAACAACAGCCCTTCTTGTGTTTATGTGCAAAACATAGGTGCAAAATGTTTTCCTGTGTGTATATATAGAATTACAGATGCATCATTTGCTGTCCAGGATTAATAAGAATGTAAGCTGATTATCGTAGGTGCCCGCTCATGAGAGTAGAACCATAGTTCTTTCTCCACCAGTGATAGCTGAAAAAATACAATATTACTGTAACAGCATTGTTGCGACTGAGAATTTTAACTCTAACTGCTACTTATTTGGGTAATAAAATTAAAGCATGAAGCAAATGCTTGCAAAATATTGATACTTGTATTTGTATTTGCTTCATAAAACCGTACAGCTGCATGTTATTGAAATTATTGCATTCTGGCTAATGTTATTCTGTAGCTGATTTCATCATAATTGAGCAGCGTCATGACAAAACCAACATAATGGTTTTGTCATGATGCGGCTTATATTTCTGAACAAAGTATACAAATCGGATTTCATATCTCATGTATCAGCATATAAATTTAATTATTACTTTTCTAATAATAGCATCTCAAAATATTATTACATCATTTTAATGTTTATTTTCTACTTACAGGTTTTTGACGATGTCAAGAAAGTTCTAGACGAGTTGAAGTTATGAAGGACTTAGTGCGGATTTATTTATATATTTTTTCTTATCAAATGTGGGACTTTTAATATGTAGTACATGTATGATGATTTTTAAAAAGAAACTTTTTATTAGTGCTTGCACAGTGATTGTGTTAAGGTAGAAATTTATAGTTTGAGGGCGGCTTTTATAACATATGCTACGGAATGTCTTAATCTACCTCTCACAGTCTATCTAATTCTTTCCTTGCATTCTGATGACAAAGTGAACAATTCAATATATTGCACTACTTTTAAGTAAGTAAAACTTCCTTGGCCTTTGGACACAGGCTTTAAATGCCCATTTCATGCTTCTGAAGATTTTAATGCAGGAAAAAAGGTGCATTAACACTCTAATACATATTCTAACAATTAAGTTATCAAGCAATCAAGTGCATATTACACGATATATGCACAGCAAATAAAAAAATATGCTTACATGTCTGATATGACATCAATGAACTAAATGCTTCAGGAAAATTACTTCTATGCTAAATATATTCCAACATATTTTTATCAATTGTCATTTTTATTAGCAAGTTAGAATGGAAATAGGTATTAATTTTTTCTTGCATTATAGTATAATAATGCACAGTTTACCGTTCAAATGCTTTGAAATTAATTACTCGGGGTCTATCGGCCTTTACGATTATATTCCTCCACATTTGAACTTAAACCATGCATTATTCTACAATGCACTCAAAATTGCTATCTATTTCCTAAACAATATAAAATACATCTGCCTAGATTTCAATAAGTTTACTATATTGAATTAGTTCAATATTCATCTAGATGCAAGAACGATACAATATAAAAGTAGCATAGACAAGTCAGTATTGCAGCCAGCATTCTTAAACAGTTTAAGTATTAAAAGACAGTGTGATTGCTTTACAAACCAATGCTGGACTCTATAAATTACATTGTAATTGAAAACAATTAAGGATAAATATATTATGTACATGTTTTGTAAAAGTTATTTTAATGAAGTTTATGTGTTTTAAATTGATCCATTACAACCAAGTGCTTTCCTATTTTAATCAGGTTCAGTGCTTTTGAATTTTGAAAACATTGTTGGGGGGGGTAATTGATGCAATAAAGTGTGTCCCACCTTTGTGAATATATACAAAGTTTGCTGTGTAAAATTACATTTTTGACAATATTTTTGTACAGCTTGATTGTTAACACATACATGACAGTAACTATCATTGAGAAAAGAGAAAATATTGAAAATATGGAAAAGAGGACAGCTAAAAAAAACTTAAACTAAGTTTTTGTTAGAGATAAAGGAAAGTGCATCATGTCTCAAAGCTAAAGAGATATTCAGTCTTTAAAACAGTATTTGATTTTCAACAAGGTTGAAGTTAGGAAGTCAAAGTTTTCCTTTAATTTTGTAGTCTGTAAGAGTTTAGCATTGCTCATCAGATATTAACATAGACCCAGCATGGTCACAGAATAAAGGTTTATGTTACTGATCTCTGTGGCTGTAGGTTTGAATCCCTCTTCAGAGAACTGAGAGCATGTTGGTTCAGGTATGTGTCCACCCTTAGTTTCCTGAGAGGAAGATATCCAGCTAAGCATAACACAAGGTGGATATACCATGCATGTCTTAGTGCATTAAGTGTGTTACATGATTTACTGTTGTGACTTTTATGTAACTCTCTTCATTATGCGGAAATCAATTATGACCTTCGCTCTCCCACCCTGAAAGAAATGGCGACTTTGTATTATGGATTGTTGTACCCCAGCCAAAATCCAAGCAATATGGGGAAAGAGAGATCATAAATTCCACACTAAATTCCTCTGTACTGCAATGTTTCCCTGCTTCAGAATAGTTTGGTGCCAGAACAATATGGCCACATGAATCAGAAGTGTAAATTAAGCCTAAGGTAAATAAGTGGCTCATTGGCCCCACTATCTCCCAGGATTGGGGGCAGCATTTAGGTCCCCAGGATCTAAGTTTGGGGAAGAGGGCTTGTGTCCCCACTATCTACTAGTTGGGTTGGCGGCATGGGTCTCAACTGTCTTCCAGGAGTGAGGGAGGAGACTTGGGTCCCCACTATCATCCAGAAGTGGGGAGTGGGCTTGGGTTACAATTGACCGATGCATTACTAATTTCAAAGGCACATAACTCTTTATCTTTTTATCTCAATTTTAAACCCCATTTTTGTAAGCTTTTTATAGTTGATTTTGTTAAGAAACATTGTTTCACAAGCTGAGTTGATTTTGTTAAGTATGTTTTTTCACAAGCTTATTGCTTTTGTATTATTTATTTGTAAAAATTATTAATTATATGAAGAAATCTGAAATGTTTGAAGAACATTGTAGATGCTTAGAATTGTTTATAGTAATACTATTCAATGTATTTTTTCCAATATTTTGATTCGTTAAAGTGGGATAGCTTTGATAGGGAAATGGTACTACTTAGTAATTTGTTAGTAGTTTGTTAAATAGTAAAAAAATAAGTAGTCAACTGCAAATTCTATAATTCCCTTTAATATACCAACATAGTAGTTTGTTAGAAGTTTTGTGAAACATTTTAAAGTATTTTTTTTTATTATATTCTTTAAGTAAGATTATAAAGTATGTATTCTTCACAAAACAATGGGATATGTAAGTGATTGATGAATAGAAAATAGAATGAATCGTAAAAAATGAATCTTTAGCTTTGTTGTTTATTTGTACACAAGTTTACATTCAATCAAACTAGCTCACAAAATATTGGTGGTTCTACTCGGGTGCCGTTCTAGCTTGAAATAATGCTTGGAAGGGCATCAGTTCTGAGGTTTTCCTCCACCAGTAAATGCTGGAAAGTTGCCATGTGACCTATACTGTGTTGGTGCGATGTTAAACCGAATCAGATAAAAACTTTAGTTTCACACCTTTAGTATTCGTAACAATAATACAGAACTATAAGTCAATTTTCAATATACATCTCTATAGTATTTGTTATAACTACTATAGAGGTATATATAAAATTGTCATTAAGTATTATTTATACTACATGTGGAAATTTACTTTATTTTTGGGGAATATTCCACTAATTTCAGCTGTTGGTAGTATCAAATCACAACTAACAAAGAATTTCAATGTTTGGCATTGGATGAAAAAAATCTTGAAGACTAGGTATTACAAGTGACAGAGGCCATAACTAAGAGCAAAACAAATGGAAATAGATGAAATTTTATATGAATAATTCTTATGGAAATAAACATTGATGAAAACCAGCGTATCAGTATTGAGAGGCAATTTAACTATTTCAAGTTGCAAAGGGCCATAACTCTTATAATGCTCCACCAGATATTGAGAAGCATCATTTCTTTAATAATTCACGAGTTTCATTTAATCAACCAATTATCAAATGTCTTGAAAATGGAAATTTTCCTTTTTCAAGGTAACAAGATGACGTAACTCATAAACCCAGTAGTGGATTGTTTGGTGGGCCTCATTTCCTAATCTTTATATTCACAAAATTTGGATGAAACGATCCTGGATGAAAGGCAGACAATGTCATATTAGTATCACCCTGTCCAATTTTATTAGCGGGTAATAATGACGCAAATTTGCAATGGCTAAAAGCAAGAACCGGAATACCTTAAAGTAGGATGATTTTTGTGATTAACTGAAGGGTGTAGAGAGTAAAGCAGTGGGCCACTTACCCAGAGTTTGTAGGTTCGGCTTGTGCAAATGGTGAGATTCTCTATTCAAATTGCATTTACATCGCGAAAGATGATGTTTGGCTGTTTCTATTATAACTTTCAATAAAGCTGCATCTAATGAAACGTTTTTTTATACAATTTTAAAACAGTAAATGTTTCCATAATTTTAAGGACGAATCTCAAAATTTTGAGTTGTTATGTAGTATGTTTATGTTATTTAATACTTAAGAATATTGTACGTAAATAGAATAAATCATTCTGGAACAAAATATTATTCTGCAGTAAGTAGGATTTTAACCATTTAGCAATGGTTACATATCCATGCGCCATTTTCTTTAGACTTTATGAAAAGTACCAACATACTTCATTTATACAGGCATTTTGGAGTTGTTTTTTTTTTTCAAAATTAAAACAATATTTTTGGAGACTGTTGGTAGCAGAGATTTATTAACATTATAACCAATTACTGCTGTAGAAAGACAAAAATAGAATTCCTGCATAGTGGAAATCCTTTTGTACACAAAACATGGTCTCTTTGTACACAAGAATATCTCTATGCTACATTAAACATTACTGACCAAACATTTTTTTCTCAATCATTGCAAAAACAACAAAACATCTAGCTGAAAATTTATTTAACAGTTTTTCTGAAATAATTCATTAATATCACTTAACTATGTTTCTAAGATTAGCAAATAAGTATGTTATCTTTTTTTGTTCTTCTTAGTCATCTTAATATTACTTTGCCCCGACATAAGTTCATACATATTTTGGTACTGTGCGTAAAGTTTATCATCTTGTTGTGTTCCTGTGCCTGTTTTATATGCGTCTGCGACCATTTTACAGCCACTTTTATATCTAAATTCACATGCTCTAAATGCATACTTAAACATTAATTCTGGATCAGGTTTCACGCGAGCTATATCTAGACCATCCCTGTATATCTGTGCTGCATGTAAGCAAGCAAACCCATCCTTTTCACAACCTTTCTTAAATAGTTCAACTGCCTTCTTTGGGTTTGGCTTACTGAGAACATTTTTGATCTCAGGTTCAAGGGTATCTTTTAAATACTGCATTCCAATAGTATCGCAGCAGCCACCATTAAAATTGTTCACTTCACAGCCTTTTTTATGGGCTTTTGTTGCTTCCTCAACATTCTTTTCCCCTGAAAAATGAGAAAAACAAGATCATTAAGTGGATCTGGATCATAAGTTGATTTATTCTGTTTGGTTTTATGGCACATCAACACAATTAAGGTCATATGGCGCCTAAACAGAAAGATAATTTTGACATACCCAAAAGATCATTTTGACAAACCTTGGGTATATCAAACTTTAAGCAACTACATGAGTCAAACCACCTCGCCTGCTGACACTAAGAGATGCAAGGACTCCAGTAATTGGAACCCAATTAGTTGTCTGTTACGATCACGCAGGCATAAAACAGTTGGCAGCAATTCTTAAGCCTCAACCTCCCAGCTATAAGGATAATCATAATTTGAAAACCTTGACTAAGGAGCATATCATATCAAATATCTCAACTCAAGGACTTAATATCTTTAATAGGTTATTTAAGAACTCCCTAGCCATAGTTTTGGCTGCTGGTGTTTTATTGTTATTAAATGTTTTGTATAATTGACTAAAAAAATCTAGAATAGAATTGTAATTATGCAATTAATATAAAATCTACTGGCTTTGCCCTATTTCAGACTCAAAACTCTACAAAGCATGATGGGGATCAGGCCACTAAAAGTCTACTGGTGATATATAAGTAAAGTCTACAAACTAGCCTTACTCTATACTTGTTGCATAGACAAATCATGATCATTGAGAGCATTCAAAAGTACCCGCATTTTAGAACAAACTCCGCATGTAGCTTACTTCCCGTTCCATGGAATGCCATTTGGCCGGCTTTAAAGCAACTGTCTCCATAGTCTCTCTTAAAACAATTTTCCATGTACTGATCATACGCTTCAACTAATCTCCTCTTCTTTGTTTCAAAGAAATCTGCAAGTTTGTGGCAAGCTACAAGAAAAACCAAATGCATTTCCGGTTAAGATTTTCAGGCTATACATTGCGTACATGTATAACAACAATAATAAATATTACTTCTCTCTCCCTATTAGGTCTGCCAATGCAAATATACATGTATATGTGAGTTTGACTGCCTTACATATCATACATTATAAAGTCAGACTAAATAGTAATTTACTTTTAAATACCCTTAATTCATAGATTACAAGAGCCAAATGTTTTATTTATACACTTGCGAAGATGAATTTCAATATAGCAGCCCTGGGAGTAAGTGACATGATAGAAACGTTCACTAACTTCACTACAGAAGAGATACAGAGATAGGAAACTTCCTAGCCAGTTAAGATATCATGCGTGCTTGCTAAACTTTAAACTTGTAGCAGGTAAGACTTACGCCATCCTTAAAAAAATGTTTGTTTGCAGTAACGCGACCGACTCACAAAATTTGCCCCTACTCAAAAGTTTTTTTCATGGTCTGGATAAAAAAAATTATTTTTTTTAATCAGAAAATTATGCCTTGTGCTTTTTTTTTGTTCTTTTAAAGGTTAATAGAAGAAATAAAATGTAGGTATTATTTAATTAGAATTCATTTATCAATTTATTAATTTGTTACCAGATTATCAAAGCATAAATTGTCCAGCATTTTGAAATTCCATGTTTATTTTGGGAGTAGATTCTACAGTTTCCAAAAAAAAAAAAAAAAAAAAAATCGACCTCCCTACCCACCTTGAAAATTCTGGGTCGGGTTACTGCAAACAAACATTTTTTTAAGGATGGCCTTATTAACCAGAGATCAATATCAGTAAAATAATACATTTTCTGAAAGCTTATACATTTGTCTCTGGCTGCAGATAAAAAACATTTACAGTTTCATTTAAATAAATGATACATCAATTTTTAAAGAGAACTACTTATTGATTACAAAACTATTCATATGATGAAAAAACTGGCTCAGTTGGTATGTGCTACTATGTTTTTTTAAATGAAAGGCATGGAAATTTACCAATATTTTAGGAAGAAGCTCAGGCCTGTACGGCTAGCCAAAAGAGTTAGCCATAAGTGTGTCATGTACAGATAGCCAGGACACACTGTCCTGTCTAGCCTTATGGTACTTTTCAAAATTATATGAAGGTCGAAAATGCATATGTTATTTTTTTGTCTTTAAATGAGGATTTTAACCAAGAAACATTTCTGTAATAAACGTCTCTTTTCCTTCCCCCCCCCCCCCCCCCCCCCATGCAAGTAGATCTACGTATACTGTGCTCCTCTTAGTTCAAGGTACTTAACGCGATTACTGGAGGTTACGTACCACGGAGGATACGTACCAGGAGGTTACGTACCATTTTTGGAGGTTACGTACCACTTATATATTTTGGAGGATACGTACCATATATATAATTTATATAAAATACAAATAATATAGAGCATAACAATTATAAAAAAGACCGAATTTTAAAACTTTATTATTACTTTTTAAAAATCACATATGAGCAATTAATATAAATGCAAACGTTTTATATATGATTATCACACATTCAGAAATGAGTAATCTAACAAATTGCAAAGTATTGACATATGAGTGAATCAGTGTGGTATTAATTATTTATCACAACTCTGATCCGGCTTTGACGTGTAACACAAACTTTAAATGATACTATAAATAAAAAGTGTTTTTTATATTTACTGGTTGGAGAGATATCTCCGACACTAAATCACATTTTTTGCAATATCTTAATTATCTTCCTGAATATTGAACCACCTAAACAAAGTTCAGTTCAAAGACTTGTATGAAAATGGAATCTGGTACTTCTTTAAGGTCCTGAATGAGGTATACAAAACATGGTCTTTTAACCCCACAACAGTAGAAGTCGACACTTAATTTTTTAAGTAAAAAAAAAATCTGCATTAGTAATTTATTAAAACATCTTATATGTTTTATCTATGTTTTGTGATTATTTAAACAGTTT